TGTGGTCCTCACACATTCTTATTAAATACATCGAATTACCAGATAATCATTCATGTCTAACAATGAAATGGAATAAAATACAATGAGCTTTACACAATGGCACCACCTAAAAGTCACCAGCCTGACATAACAGGTTACTTTCTGATAAGTTCAGCTACCAGAAAGGATCATTTACCAAAAAAGTTCTCATGGACCTAAGCTGATGGAAGATACTATCTGGTTGCTATGGAATATTAGACTGTTGTGGTCCTCATACATCTTTATTAAATAAACCAAATTGCCAGATAATCATTCATTTCTAATAATAAAATAAGCTTTACACAACGGCACAATCTAAAAGTCACCAGCCTGACATAATAGATTACTTGCTGATTCAGGTTCAGATGCCTGTAGAGATCATTTACCAAACTTGAAGGAAGTTCTGATGGATCTAAGCTCATGGGAGATGCTATTTGGTTGCTATGGGATACTGAACTTTGTACATCATCCATGGTCCTCACACATCCTTATTATACACCTCAGATTGCCAAATAATCATTTATTTCTTAAAAACAAAACAAAAGAAAACGAACTGACCAGATGGACACAGTAGGTTTGTGATAAGATCAGCAGTCTAAGAGATTAATTAGCAATCAAATCTAATGATCGATTTAAGGTGATGGAGGTTCTGATGGATCTAAGCTCATGGGAGATGCTATGGGATACTAAAGTTTGTACAGCATCTGTGGTCCTCACTCATCCTGATTGACAAGTATTCATTTCCAACCTAGTATCCTCCACAGAATTCCTGCTTACAAACGTTGTGATCGCTGACAGCCAGAATTGCTGTAAGAGGATCGTGCAGCCTGGCCATCCCTATGGATGTCATAGCATCGATCAAGGGCTGTACATGGGAATGTCACTGGATGCTTTCACATCCATCCAATGCCCTCTGATGACAGGTTTCCCCCAAATGACTGAATGCCTCGCTTTAAGTATCATTGTGCAATGAGTATTAAACTCGTGGATTACTATAGGTCCACATTCAATACAGGGCTGGGAGGAAAGATTTAAAAGCACTGTATTGTCCAGACAGCAGCAGGAAGTTTCTTGTTGAGAAATGAGGGGCTGGGACAAAAGGGAAAGGAAAGTCTTGAAAGGATTTAATTAACCGTGTCAGGGATAATTACCCTGGACAGCCAAATTAGTTTTGCATAATCGCTCCCAAGCAGATGAATATTGCAAGCTCCAAGCACGATAGATTTAGGGGATCGTTTTAATTATTACAAGATCTGTGCATGCCATGATATCACAATCTACAATCCAGCTTTTTTTCACAGCAGCATGGTGTTATACTGTCCTTTATGCAGTTTAATATACTATTTTTTTTATAAAATACTTTAGATTAATGACTTACTGATCACCCCAAAGTGTATGAAGAATTCTGTATCTGCACCTAAAATTAACTAAGATTTCCCTAACATTACTCTATGGTTTTCACTGTCACAGATATATAATTTATTTTAATATAAATAGTTTATGAAAGACTTATAATTATTGTTAAACTCTTCTCACCTGCCCCTGCACCGAAACAGCACCTAAAAACTACTCTGTGACGTTTTACTGTCCTTTTTTTAGTTTTATATTATTTTTAATAAAATAGTGTAGGTTTATTGATCACCCCAAAATGTGTGTACAACTTCTGCCACCTGCACCCAACATTAACTAAGATTTCCCTGAAATGACTGTGTTTTACCTTTTTACTTTTTGATGTAGATATAATTTTTAATAAAATACTAATAACTTAGATAAAATAATTATTAAGTACCCCAAAGTTATGGTAAACATTATCTCACCTGCATTCAAAACCAACTAGGATCACCCTAAAATTATGTTATTGTACTGTCTTTTTTTATATAGATATAATGTTTAATAAATACTTTAGATAACAGAATTATTAATCACCCTAAGAGTATGGTAAATGTTGTCTCACCTGCATCTAAAACCAACTAGGATCTCTCTAAAATTATGCTATTTTACTGTCCTTTGTTATATAGCTATCATTTTTAATAAATACTTTAGATAAAAGAATTATTAATCACCCTAAGAGTATGGTAAAAGTTTTCTCACCTGTATCCAGAATCAACTATCATCTCCCTAAAATTATATTTTACTGTCCTTTTTTTATATAGATGTTATATTTAATAAATACTTTAGATAACAGAATTATTAATCACCTCGAGTATGGTAAAAGCTGTCTCACCTGCATCCAAAATCAACTAGGATCTCCCTATAATGATGCTGTTTTTCTGTCCTTTTTTATATAGATATAATTTTTAATAAATACTTCAGATAAAATAATTATTAATCACCCTAAGAGTATGGTAAACGTTTTCTCACCTGCATCCAAAATCAACTAGGATCTCCCTAAAATTATGTTATTTTACTGCCCTTTTTTTTATATAGATATCATTTTTATTAAATAGATACTTTAGATAAAATAATCACCCAAAAATTATGGCAAAAGTTTTCTCACATGCTTCCAAATTCAACTAAGATTTCCTATAAAATGACCGACCCCATGGTATTTTACTGTCATTTTTTAAAATTCTGGTATTTATTAGGAAAATACTTTAGAAGACTTATTGAGCACTCCAAAATGTATGTTAAACTCTTCTCACCTGCACCTGCAGCCAAAATGAACTAAGATTTCCCTGAAATTACTTTATGGTGTTTCACTGTCCTTTTTTTATATACTGTATATATTGTTTATAATTTAATACTTTAGAAGACATAGTGATCACCCCAAAATGTATGTAAATGATGGTGTTTTACTATCCTAATTTGTTTAATGAAATACCTTAGCTGAAATGCTTATTAATTATTCCACAATTCTAAAACTCTTTAACTACACACAAAATGACCCCCCCCCCCCCCCATTTAATGATTTGCAATCTTTGATCAATCAGAAACTGTTATTCAGTCTGGAAAGTATTTCAAGGGATTATTAGAGCAAAATGACATCCCAGATATTTTACTGTAATCAAATCTTGACACATTTATGAAGAAATGTTGCAGCAAGGATCTGTTTGTGTTTTTTCTTTGGGGGGGGGGGGGGGGGGGCTCTGTAGAGGAATGCACATTATCAATGTACAATTGCTCTATCAGCTGCTTTTCTTTTTGCATGTCGATCGTGTATTGAAGGGCACGATCCATCTGCATTGTGCCAGATTGAGGTTCCTTTGAAGAAATGACAAGGGTTTTATTGGGAAGCTCTTCTAACAAGATAAAGTACCCAAGCAACTTTCCCCTCTTAATGTTACTGGACACCTTCACAATAGTCTGCGAGGCTCAGTCTTCTCAATGGGCTCTGTTCTGCTCAATCATGAATGCCCTTTTTTTTTTTCAGGAAAAGATAATACAACGACTTGTTTTTTTATCTTCTTTCCTATTCACGATTAAAAATGTGATAAATCAGGTTTTTGGCCCTGGATAACAATGACTTGATTTAGATTTCCTGGTAAATCCATTCAACAAGGAAACAAAGGCAGCCTTTGGGGGATAAGTTACACTTCACCTGGACCAAGCACGTAAGGGCAATTCAGATAAAAATCTTGTTAGTATACTCAACAAGAAATAGAAGATTTTTTTTCTCCTTTTTAGCTATAATGGGCTTTATTTCAGGTCTTTGTTCGGGGCTGAACAGAGGACTAAGGATCTCTTAGTCATTCAATATTATTAAAGCAGTGCCTGATACAGACAAAACGACACATCAAAAAAATTGAATTGTTAAAACCATTTTGTTTCTTTATCTTTACGTTGTAGTACAGAAAGCCAAAAAAATAAAAACTAAAAATTACATGTTAGCCAGCTTCATTCACAAATATTAGTCCAAATGTACACATTACAAAAAAGAACCCAAGAACTCAACAATGATTGGATGGTACGCAGTTTGATGCGTTAAATGTAGACCATTAAAGGAAACATAAATTGGGACTTTAGAGGTACCCCCATGAACAGCACGTGTGATTTATGGGGTGCCTTTAAAGTTCTAATAGAAATGAGAAAGTCTTTTTTTAATTCTTTAAGGGATGTTGGTACCACTAGGATAATTTATTATTTGAGATCCATACTTGTTACCATTTAAATGAAAAAAAAAGTTCTGATGACAATTGCAAGTTTGGATCATTTTAGGAAGGGGTGGGGCAAATTTTTCCTTGCAAACAGTTTATATTTTCCTAAACAATAAATATACATTTAACAGCTGCAATAGCTTGAAAGGAATTCTTTTTTTTTTTAATCATTGTCAATTTTTTTTCTTGCTATCGATAGACTTGGGGTAAGTGAGCAGCAAGTTTTCACTGTCTTCTTCAATGTACATAGTTACAATCAGACAGACCCTGTACCCTGCTTTGCCTTCCATTGGGACAGGTTGCAGTATGCATGGTGGTCATCAGACCAAAGTAACCACATTTCCTGGATGCTATGGAAAGATCAGGTCGTGATTAGTAGCAGGCTATAGTTCTTGAGTGTGGTCACCCCTGGACATCTTCCATCACCATGGAGAAGAGTGTTGGAAGGACCACTAAGTACACCAGTGTCCATCATTAGTGCATGCAGGATACAGGTAGATCAGTCCATCCATGTCCTATATAATGTATCCACCTTACAAGTGCAGAAAGAGACACATCTCTGAAATGTTCCTTGTTTGACCTTCTCCTGGCCACCAGTTCAGTAGAAGAGGGACTTGCACAGCCTTTGTGGGTTCCTACAAGTTCCTCCACACTGAGGGACCTTGATATAATCAGTGTTCTCAACACAACATGACCTGTGCAATGGACAGCAGTGGCATGACAACTAAATATCACATACTTCCATACTTTAAATGTATTTCACAGCATCAAATGACAAAATGTGACAACAAGTAGGGGCATCCTGCCCTAGGGATATGTCCCTGTGTCCAATATGAAGTTACAGCCTGCTTCTGCGGTGACAGAGCCCTTGTAAGGGCTGCCATGGTGTCATAAGGCGGCAGCATAAGCTGTGGCGGGGTAAGGGTCCAACTGGGGTTTGCCCATGCCAGGGAACAGGATGTATGCTAGGGGTGGCTGCAGTCCAGGACTGGGCCAGCCTGTGCAGTTACATGGGATCATATAGCCAGGATTCCCGGGGGATGGGTGGGAATGAGTGTGCCCCCCGCTGGCAGCTGCTGCCGCTGCTGCAGCCGCTGCCACACCGGAGAAAGCTCCTCCGCTGGACTGGGGGTATCCCAGAGAAGAGGCGTAGGGGAGGGTGGAAGTGCTGGATGTGATCTCTGCCATCTTGGAGCTCAGATCAAACAGGGAATATGGACTGGAGGCGCTACCGGCTGCAGCAGCTGCCGCTGCCGCTGCTGCAGCAGCCGCGGAGGGGGGGAAGAAGACCCTGGCTGCTGCTGCGGCTGCCGCGGCTGCTGCTTTCTCCGGATTGGCCAGCAGAGAGTCAGTCAGCACCCCGGCCCCGTGTAGGGTGGCGGCCTTCAGCCCCTCGTGTTCCGCGGCCAGGCTATAAGGCATGGGGAAGGCGAACTTGTCCTTCTTTAGTAGGGTCTTGGGCTTCCTCCGGGGCCGGTATTTGTAGTCCGGATGCTCCTTCATGTGCATAGCCCGTAGTCTCTTGGCTTCATCTATGAACGGTCTCTTTTCCGACTCGGTCAGCAACTTCCACTCGGCACCCAGGCGCTTGCTGATCTCCGAGTTGTGCATTTTGGGGTTCTCCTGGGCCATCTTTCTCCTCTGGGCTCTAGACCACACCATAAAGGCGTTCATGGGTCTCTTCACATGGTCCACCGGCTTAGACATCTCCAACTGACTGGTCTCCAGCAAGTCCGACAAGGGCGCTCTCCAAACTGGGCTCTGTGTAGGCTCAGCGTGGCATTCCTTGGGGGGTTCCAGGAAGATCTCAGCAGGTCCTTCCAGGGAGATCTCAGTGGGAACTGGTAGGCTGGTTGCAATCACTGACTGGGTCGGGATGTTCCAAGGAGCTCTCAGCAGGTTCTTTTCAAAAGGATATCAGCAGGAGTTTGGAAGTTCCAGGGAGATCTCAGTAGGGGTTGGAAAGTTTCAGGGAGCTGTCAATAAGATAGTCCAAGGAAATCACAACGAGAAATGGTAGACTGGTTGCAATCACCTGCTAGGTCGGGATGTTCCAGGAAGATCTTAGCAGGTGTTTCCAGGGAGATCTTAGTGGGAATACGTAGACTGGTTACCTGCTAGGTCTGGTTGCAAGGTTGTTCCAGGGAGATCCTAGTGGGAATAATTAGGCTGCTAGCTAGGTCAAGATGTTCCAGGGAGCTCTCAGCAGATTGTTTCAGGGAGATCTCAGAAGGTTGTTCCAGGGAAATCTCAGCAGGTTGTTTCAGGGAGATCTCAGAAGGTTGTTCCAGAGAGATCTCAAAATATTGTTTCAGGGAGATCTCAAAATATTGTTCAGCAGGTTGTTTCAGGGAGATCTCAGAAGGTTGATCCAGGGAGATCTTAGTGGGAATAAGTAGGCTGGTTGCAGTCACCTGCTAAGTCAGGATGTTCCAGGGAGCTCTCAGTAGGTTGCTCCCAGGAGATCGCAGTAGGGGGTCGGGATGATCCAGGGAGATCTCAGTGAGAACAGTTAGACTGGTTGCAATCACCTGCTGGTTCCAGGGGAAATTTAGCTGAATGCACTAGGGATATGTCAGTGAGAATAGGTGGTCTGGTTGGAATGTTCCAAGGAGGTATCAGCTGGGTGGTCCAGGAAGATCTCAGAGAGAACAGATAGTCTGGATACAATCACCGATTAGGAGATCTTAGTGGGAATGGGTAGTCTGGTTGGTTGCGATCACTGGTTGTGTCCGGGTGATCCAGGGAGATCTCATATAAAGTTGATAGTCAGGATGCAATCACTGGTTGGGTCGAGGTGATCCAGGAGATCTCAGAAGGGCGATCCAGGAGATCTCAGTAAGAACAGGTAGTCTGGATGCAATCACTAGCTGGGTGGAGGTGATCCAGGGAGATTTCGGCGAGAACAGGTAGTCTGTGTACAATCAGTGGCTGTGCACTGGGAAAGTTAGCAGTGTCCCACATGAGCAGCACTGACAGTGTGTAGAAGAGGTCTCAGTGAGTGAGTGACACTGGCTGCTGGGCTGTCCTCTGCTCCCTCCTGCACACTCAGCAGTCAATCACACACAGGCGGAACAACAAGTGAAATCAATCCCCGGAGTCCTCCCGGTCTATGGAGTCGGCGATGTCACCATCCAGTGGTCCGGGACACCAGGCAGCCTGTCCCCTGTCCTCCACACACAGGACATGCTCCACACCGAGGAGATGGGGTGGGAATGGGTTCGGATGTCAGCGCCAGGTGCACAGCCTACGACTTAGCCAAGTTTCTGGCTCCTGTCCTCCTCTCAGTGACAGGAAAGCGAGGAAGGAATAGTTTTTTTTTTTTTGGTAAGTGAAGCTGGGCGGGAGAGCAGGCGGGTGTGAGCGGAGATGCAGGTGGGAGGGGCAGCAGGGAAAGCTTCTTCTCTCCGTGTAGTCTCAGCGAGACTTCCAGACCCCGCACCTGGGACGGCTCACCTGCCACTCACGGGGTCAGAGCCAGCCGGAGGTCACGTGTCCTGCGGACAGGCGCTGATCGCCTCATCTTGTAGCAGCTTTAAGAGGTGACTACTCCTGGGTTCCACTTAGATCAGAGCGCACTACAGCACCGGAACCTGTCAACTGCTAGTGACATATGAAGAAATATATGGATATATAGCGCAAACCTAGGCACCTGCTGGGGGCATCTTTCTTTGTTGTAAAGTCTTCCATTATGTATACAGTATTTGTCCATACACATAGAGATCTGTGATCCATCTAGGTTAATGGTGGCCGTACACATAGAGATCTGTGATCGATCTAGTGATTAATCCAGGTGGCCGTACACATAGAGATCTGTGATCCATCTAGGTCAGGCATGTCCAAAGTCCGGCCCGCGGGCCATTTACGGCCCCGAGGGTCGGTTTAATACGGCCCTCCATGTCAGTGTGTCAGTGTGTCTTATGGAGCGAATATGGAGCGGTCCGGTATTTCCACCGCGGCCGTGTCAGAATACCGGGCGGCCGCTCAGCTCTGCAGCGGGACCTTACCTGTTCCTCTATCCAGCGGCGTGCTGTCTTCCGGCTTCTGTAGTGTGGGCGCTGGGCATGACAGCCGGGTGCCAAGTGCGCATGCGCAAGAAGCGGTGCTTTTTGTGAATGGTAAGGCGGTACCTGGGACACATGACAGATCCCAGAAGCCGCCGGACTAATAACAAAGCGCAAGTGCTTCTCGCTCATGTGCACTGGGCACCCGGCTGTCATGCCGAGCGCCATTACAGAAGCGGGAAGACAGCGCGCGGCTGGATCGAGGAACAGGTAAGATCAAAGAACAACTGCGGAAGTAAGAGCGGGTACCTGTCAAATTCAGGTACCCGCTCCCCACCTCCCCAAAGGTCAGCAGTCATCTGTACTGTCCGCAGTCTCTGGTCATCCCTGTGCTGTCCGCAGTCTCTGGTCATCCCTGTGCTGTCCGCAGTCTCTGGTCATCCCTGTGCTGTCCGCAGTCTCTGGTCATCCCTGTGCTGTCCGCAGTCTCTGGTCATCCCTGTGCTGTCCGCAGTCTCTGGTCATCCCTGTGCTGTCCGCAGTCTCTGGTCATCCCTGTGCTGTCCTCAGTCTCTGGTCATCCCTGTGCTGTCCGCAGGCTCTGGTCATCCCTGTGCTGTCCGCAGTCTCTGGTCATCCCTGTGCTGTCCGCAGTCTCTGGTCATCCCTGTGGTCCGCAGTCTCTGGTCATCTCCTGTACTGTGTCTGCAGTCCATTAGTTCAGAATTTTTTTTTTCCTGTTTTCTGCCTCTAAAACCTAGGTGCGTCTTATGGTCAGGTGCGTCTTATACGGCGAAAAATACGGTAACTTGGCATAAAATTAATTTATTTGCATTTAATTGTAATGGTTCAAAGAATGTTTGGAAAAAATGTTCGGCCCTCCACCATGTTCACTTCATCCAATCTGGCCCTCTTTGAAAAAAGTTTGGACACCCCTGATCTAGGTTAATGGTGGCCGTACACATAGAGATCTGTGATCCATCCAAGTTAATGGTGGTCGTACACATAGAGATCTGTGATCCATCTAGGTTAATAGTGGCCGTACACATAGAGATCTGTGATCCATCTAAGTTAATGGTGGTCGTACACATAGAGATCTGTGATCCATCCAAGTTAATGGTGGTCGTACACATAGAGATCTGTGATCTATCCAAGTTAATGGTGGTCGTACACATAGAGATCTGTGATCCATCTAAGTTAATGGTGGTCGTACACATAGAGATCTGTGATCTATCCAAGTTAATGGTGGTCGTACAGATAGAGATCTGTGATCCATCTAAGTTAATGGTGGTCGTACACATAGAGATCTGTGATCCATCCAAGTTAATGGTGGCCGTACACATAGAGATCTGTGATCCATCCAAGTTAATGGTGGTCGTACACGTAGAGATCTGTGATCCATCCAAGTAAATGGTGGTCGGTACACATATAGATCTGTGATCCATCCAAGTTAATGGTGGTCGGACACATATAGATCTGTGATCCATCCAAGTTAATGGTGGTCATACACATAGAGATCTGTGATCCATCCAAATTATGGTGGCTGTACACATATAGAACTGTGTTCATTTACTCTAGGTCACTGGTGGCCATACACATAGAGATCTGTGTGATCCATCCAAGTAAATGGTGGCCGTACACATATAGATCTGTGATCCATCTAAGTTAATGGTAGCCATACACATATAGATCTGTGATCCATCCAAGTTAATGGTGGTCGGACACATATAGATCTGTGATCCATCCAAGTTAATGGTGGTCATACACATAGAGATCTGTGATCCATCCAAATTATGGTGGCTGTACACATATAGATCTGTGATCCATCTAAGTTAATAGTAGCCATACACATAGAGATCTGTGATCCATCTAAGTTAATGGTGGTCGTACACATAGAGATCTGTGATCTATCCAAGTTAATGGTGGTCATACACATAGAGATCTGTGATCCATCTAAGTTAATGGTGGCCGTACACATAGAGATCTGTGATCCATCCAAGTTAATGGTGGTCGGACACATATAGATCTGTGATCCATCCAAGTTAATGGTGGTCATACACATAGAGATCTGTGATCCATCCAAATTATGGTGGCTGTACACATATAGATCTGTGATTCATTTACTCTAGGTCACTGGTGGCCATACACATAGAGATCTGTGTGATCCATCCAAGTAAATGGTGGCCGTACACATATCTGTGATCCATCTAAGTTAATGGTAGCCATACACATATAGATCTGTGATCCATCCAAGTTAATGGTGGCCATATACATATAGATCTGTGATCCATCTAAGTTAATGGTAGCCATACACATATAGATCTGTGATCCATCTACTCTAGGTCATTGGTAGCCGTACAAATAGAGATCTGTGATCTATCTAAGTTAAGGGTGGCCATATACATAGAGATGATGGGACACTATTTCTCCCACTAATACCAATGATGGGGTACTATTCTCCCACTGACACCAATGATGAGGCTCTATTCCCCCATTGACACCAATGATGGAGAACTATTTGTTCTACTGGTGCCAAGATGGGGCACTGTTCCTCCCTCTGATACCAATGATGGCGTACTATTCTCCCACTGACACCAATGATGAGGCTCTATTCCCCCATTGACACCAATGATGGAATACTATTCCCCCTACTGACGCTAATGAAGAGGCACTATCCCCACTGACACAGATGTTGGGGCACTA